TTCAAGTATGAGCTCTATGCGAAGCAATCTACAAATGGAAGTTCAAATAAGTTTTGATTTTTTTCTTTATTTTGGTTTCAACCTTATACAAATTTTGCTTGATGCTTTTTTGAATCAATGTTGGTCATAGACAATTTAAATAAATAGTCCGAAAGGCTAAAATTAATAACCTATCATCGACGTCTTTGCTCATGTTATTTTTATGAAAAAATATCATATTGATATTATTAATTGCAACTCAAAATCATTGAAAGATTTTTTAAATGGATGTAAAATCTTTTTTTCTTGAATGTTTATCTTGAAAAAGAAGTCTATGTGCAACATCCTATATGTTGAGGATGTGCTTGAATAAAAATCTTAATGTTGAAGAGGACACTTTATGACTTAATGCGCGAGGTCCTAGCAACTGCAATTTTTATTTCAAAACAAATAGTCAAGTTTAATGCCATTAATATTATGCGTAAAATATACAAATTGAGACACATTGCTCGTTGTTTCGCATGCAAATTATCTTACTTTCATATGAAGTGATGCTCGTGTATCAATTAGTAAGTTCAAGTCAAGCATGACTATAGATTTTGAGAAGAAAAACGTGGGACTCATGACTTCTCCTACTTGAATTTAAAGACAATGAAAGATGTCATTTTTGTGTTACAAGAGGCTTACACAAGTGAAATTCTCCAAAATTTTAAGATGGATGATTATATATACTCCCATCAGTACCTATGTTGACTATGTATTAAAGTTATCAAAATATGAAGGAAAAATGGGGTATCCTACTCTTTATAAAAGGTAGATTTGAAACTTGTGGCACTTGACATGCATAAAACCATATGTTTTTTATGGAGTTTTATTAGTTAGACGACATATAGGGGAGCCAAATGTGATATATTTGAAAATAACATCGAGGATTCTTCATTATTTTTTAGGCATAATCTCGAATGGACTCTTATATAATTTTCTAACAATATTTGACTTCATTGTTTCACTGATAGTGACTAAGGAGGAGATATGGATGATTAAAAGAATAACATATGATTTATTTTCTAGTTGTGTGTTAAGACATTCACATGACTATCCAAAAATAGCATATTGAGTTAATATGTTGTAACATGATCATCTATAATTCATGCAATTTGATTAAGAAGATAATTCAAACAAATGCATCTTCCTCAGCTTCAAGCTACAAAGATCAAAATCGATAACAAAACTTAAATCATGTTTGTCAAAATTTCATTCAACATGAAAGTAGCAAGCAAATAAGCATTCAACAATCTCATTCGACACTATATGCATATATCTTCACAAACCCACTATTCCATATACTCAATGATCGTCACGGAGTGGTGGATTGAAGACAATTGCATGTGAGGAGGTTCTTGGAAATTTAAATTTAGTTGCAACTTAGGAATTCTTTGTGTCGTATAGAAATGTAAAATTCAGAATTCTAAGCATTAAGTCATTTTATAAATGTATGTAAAATATATAATTTAAATTCATTAAACAACTTTTTTAAATTAATATTAACAACTAAGTTTAAAATTATATAAAAAAAAATCTAATAATTTAATAGTTGACCATGCATGAGTTTCACAAGCAAATATTTCTTTGAATTGTTTAACCTCAAAAATATATAAAAAAAAGGAAGATTCGGTGATTGAATAGTCTCATCATTCAATCGACGCCAACTGTAGAGAATTTGGCCATTCATTTAAATGGCTCAAAATTTTCAAAATAAACTAATTAATCTCTCTCATCATATTGTGGTTGTGATTCATTTGCACAGGAACAGCACAGGTGGCTGGTTCAATTGTTATTTGACAAAAAATAATAATAATAATAATGGGTTATTTTTATTATTTAATTATCATAAATTTGATGATATTAAGCATTTTTTATAACTAAATATTTTATTCCATCAAATATTTGACAAGTAATTGAAAGAAATTTGAAAAATAGTTCACAATTATATAAATTTATTTCACTCTTGTTTCTTGCAATATCTTATAATTCATGAATAAATATTTCAAGAGCTCACATTGGATGATGGAATTATGCGAGTATGAATAACTAGTGTTTAATACATAATATTATTAAATTTTTATCCCACCGGACTTAGCTAGGTTGGTGCACGAGCATAGTTGGGAAAACCCCAACCCATGTTCGAATCCCCTCTCATGCGGCGTGACTCCTTAAGTTGGGAGAAAATAACTATGGGTCCTGCACCTGTGGGGCTGATTGCTGATAGGCAAGCCGAGGGATTAGTTAAACTGTGCCGAGGGATTAGTTAAACTGTCATGCCCCTCCAAAAGGGGTGGCAGCCAGTGGATATTCGATCCAAAAAAAAAAATTTGCACCTTTTTTAAAATTATTAAATAATTTTAATACTTACCATATCAGGATAATTCAACAATATCATTTAATTTGTTTGATTGATAAGGGCCATCAAAGTTGTTGTACGTCAATGGCTTGAATTTAAATCTTACTAAAAATAATATAAATAAATCTCATTGAAATCTTTGAACTTTGTATTTACCCTTTTTATTAATTTTATATTCAATCCAAATTTAACTTTTATGTTCACACAGTCTGCATCACAATTTTGTTCTTTTTCTACTTTTAATTCCCAAAAAAAAAAAACTTTTAGTTAAAATATTATTTAATGGTCATCTAAGAACCGTGCAATGCCATGTGGTCTAATATTGACCTATAATTAATTAATTATGACCAGCATTTATGATTTATCTTTATTTTTTATTATTAACATATCTTTCATGGCTTTTGGGCACATGTGAATCGAATAATTGTATATCTATTCTGATATATCCAAATAAATAGGAAAACGCTAATCATATTTAATGATATAAATTCGGTGAATTATATCTAAGAGGACGACTTAAATGCCTAAAATAAACAGTCTGGATTCCTGACTTCGCTAAGGAAACAAAATGCACCATTATATTTTGATATAGTTTATATCATTATTTAAAAACTCTTTCTTTAAATTATTTTGAGATAAATATAACATATGTTTTATAAATAATCAATTGATTTTTATATTATTCTTGATGCATTCTAGAATATTTACGGCGGTATAGATATATAAAGTTTAGCATCTTAATTTTGTACAAAGATCCAACACACAAACAGATAAAAGAGTATGGTGCAATATTCATAATAGACACCAAGATTTTTATATAAAAACCCTGAAAAGGAAAAAACCACGAGGTCTAGCCTAGTTTGAATGAATCTACTAGTATTGATATTGATTATAAATAATATTCCTCTTTGGAGGAGGGTGCTAACACAATGTAGCAAATAGATATTATATATAGTGTATTATATAGCAGCAGTTCTTAAGAAAGTGTTGACATATTTATTTGGTTAGTAGAACTGTAGTCTACAGACACTGAAGTACCATATATAGTCGACGAGTAACGATTGTCAGAAGTATCATAGTCGACATGTGACAGTGGTCAGAAGGACTGTAGTCAGTGGGTGATAATGTTGGGAAGAGTTCCAGCAATAGTCAGAGAACGGGCGGAAGTTCATCTGCTATCAATGGTCGGGAAGAACTTCGATGGTGTCATCGTTGGATGGAGAGTGCAAAATAGCTCTCAAGCTTTCTCTCCTCTTCCTCCTCTCCTTTATGTGAAGAATGATTGACTATTTATAGTTTTTTAGGAGTAACATCCTCAGTAAATATGAAGAAGATCAAGAGCATGTTGAGAGTGTTCCATCAGACAACCCACACTGATTCCTTCAATCATAGAGCATTTATTCATCATTTAAGTGCCTTAAGAAATGCCAGGATTGAGTGATCATGAGTTCGTTGGATTCGTCTTATCAAGCCGCTCGATTCAACTATAAGCATGTCATATTTAAAGACCTGCCGTGATGCTCGAGGATGGGGAGCCTCCAGTCAAATTGCCGGCTACCACGTGTCGTGCGTGAAGTAAGAAACGCATGAGTTTGAGGAAAAAATACAACAAAAACAACAATAACAAACCTTTATCCCTCTATGTGGAGTCGGCTACATGAATCTTTTTTCTCCATTATGTCATGTTAATAGTTAATTTCTCATTTAAATCTAATAAAGAAATGTCATTTCTAACATTTTCTAACAAAGTCTTTTTAGGTTTACATCATGTTTCTTAACATAAGTCAAATCTAATACATCTACTTTTTTAATCGGGTCATCGGAAGGCCGCAATTTTATGTGATCAAACCATCTAAGTCAACTCTCTCTAATTTTATCTTCAACTAGAGCTACTCTAACATTTTCACGTATATGCTCATTTTGTATCTTGTCTCTAAGAGGACATCCATTAATCCACGTGAGAATGCTCACCTCTACCATGCTTAACTTATATTACGCTTCTTTTTTAATGGCCGTAATTAAAAAAGAAAGAAAAAATTTAAAGTTATTATTTTGTTATAGCTTTAATATGATCTTAATAAGGTGGTAATTATGCAGCCAGTGGGGGCTATGCCCCTAGCAGAAATCTGCTCCTGATTAAAAACTTAAGAAGTTGTAGAAAATTAAAATACAAATTTAATCGTTCAAACTTCAAACAAATAATGAAATAATTCACAGTTAGGCGGCTCCGAATTAATTGGGCACGTGGCCAAGATGCCCGGTCGGCCGCCGCCCGTTTAAACGGGGGGAAATTTTGCCATCGTTGTTTTTGAACTAAAAAGCTTGAATTTCTAGAGAGAAAAAGAGCGTGGTCAATCGGACCGTTGAGTTTTTGATTTCAAACGATTGACAGATGGACATTGGAGGATTGTCGAGATATGAGGGGTAGTTTGGGCAGAAAAAACATAATCTCCTCACATGTGACGCGGGCACTGGGCCCCAAATTCCGCTGCCTCCTTGCCAGGCAAAAAGCGTTCCATATGAACACATTAACCAAACTTCTAGAAACCAAAGAAACTCGCCAATCCTTACACGTTTCAGTCTTACTTTATGTACTACACCAACCATTCTCCTTTATAAGCTCCTTACCAGCTGCAAACGAAGAATCACTTTGTAGAAATACATTTCTCTTCTCTCTCTGTCACAACAAACAAGGAAGCAAACAGAAGAAGAAGGAGGAGGAGGAGGAGAAAAGAGAGAGTTTCAATGGACGCCGTTGCGGTGGCTCGTATGGGCAGCTTGAGATCAGGAAGCTCTTCCATTTGGAAAGCAGATGAAATCTTTTCAAGATCGGCACACGAAGAAGATGATGAAGAAGCTCTCAAATGGGCGGCCCTTGAGAAGCTCCCTACTTACAGCAGGTTGAGGAAAGGCTTACTTACTATGGCAGAAGGAGGGGGGAAGGAGATTGATATTGAAGATCTTGGATTTGAAGAGAGGAAGGAGTTGTTGGAGAGATTGGTCAGAGTTGCAGAGGAGGATAATGAAAAATTTCTGAGGAAGCTTAGAGACAGAATGGATAGGTAATTAATGTTGCTTTATCAATTCTTCAGATTGTTTTCATGCTGTTGATTAATTAATTCTCTTTTGTTTTGTACTCAATTTCAGAGTTGGAATTGAGCTTCCAACTATTGAGGTGAGATATGAGCATCTTAGTATTGAAGCAGAGGCATATGTGGGTAATAGAGGATTGCCAACACTCTTTAATTCCATCATAAATATTTTTGAGGTAATTATTAGAATCTTTCAGTATGCGGATAGTTATGATATTAAATGATCAAGCTTAAGTTAATGTATTGAGGTACTAACCTTGTTTTTTATTTTGCTCTATGAAGACCGTTGCTAATTGCCTACATATATTACCAAACAAGAAGAAGCCTCTAACTATCCTTCACGATATCAGTGGAGTCATCAAGCCTCGAAGGTACAAGCAGCATTAATTTCAATTTACATCTAAGGCTTCTTTCTTACAATTTTTTTTTTTTTTTCCTTTCAAATTGTAACCACGTTGGTATTTGGCAAACAATTTCTCAATTGAGTTTCCGAATGCTCTGTTTCTTAGAATAACTTTGAATGACAGATCTAATCGTACTATGTTTTAAGGGAGCAATTATGTTTATTAATTTCCTGAGGTTTTACGATTCAATTACATAATAACTTTAAAGTTTTGTTTATTACAATTTTTTTATTGCTTTCTAAAATAATTTTTTAGCAAAAAAAATTTATTAAAAATTTATTTTAAGAAATAATAATAAAGCCATCTCAAAAGAAGCTTTTTTTTTTTTTTTGCAATAGTTTTACAACTTTTGAGACAGCCATAATCGCACCAAATAGTCTCTTGTAAAATAATAATAATAATAATAATAATAATATGCTCTTCCATGAGAAAAAATAGTAGCTTATATTTTTTTTCTTTTTTCTTTTTGTGAATTGTAGGATGACTTTACTCTTAGGACCCCCTGGTTCTGGAAAAACTACTTTGTTGTTAGCTCTAGCTGGAAAGTTGGATTCAGACGTCAAGGTTACCATTAATTCAGAGCAAATTAATCTAAATCAACACAATTTCTACATATCTATTTATTTATTTATTTATTTATTTTGTGAAAACAAAATACAGGTATCTGGAAGAGTGACTTACAATGGTCATGGAATGAATGAGTTTGTGCCCCAAAGAACAGCTGCATACATCAGTCAATATGATCTACATATAGGCGAGATGACAGTTCGAGAAACTTTGTCCTTCTCTGCTAGGTGTCAAGGAGTTGGTACTCGTTACGGTAAGCAAAATTTTCAAACTATTCATACATGTCACATAAGTGATTGAATGTGTTTCATCCTGAATTTGAAGAGTATGATCCAAATAAGGTTTAAGGGAGTGATTGTCAGGAGAAAATGGAGGCAGGAATGAACCAAATCTCATAATATAAAGGCACCTTATAGTGTAGTGGGTTGATTTGCTTTAAAGAATTCACATTTAGATGTGTTTGTAGAACACTTATGATATGAGTGACTATTCAAAAGTTACATGAAAAAGATAAAATCTTGAGGTTATTACAGAATGAGTGATATTTTTTTCTTTTTTTGCTTGTTGAAGACATGCTGTCGGAGCTAGCAAGGAGAGAGAAGGCAGCAAATATCAAACCAGATCCAGACATTGATGTTTTCATGAAGGTGAGATTTCCATTCTGGTGTTACTGCAAGTAAAAACTATGTCAGATTTTCTTTTATCATTAGTCAAGCTAATTTTAATAATCTACAGGCAACTTCAATGGAGGGACAAAAGACCAACATTGTTACTGATTACGTTTTAAAGGTATATAATATACAACAACAATGCAAAATTATGTTAATTCTCTCTCCATGTGATTCAATATTGATTCCATATTGTTGATTGAACATAGATCTTAGGTTTGGATATATGTGCTGATACAATGGTTGGAGATGATATGAGAAGAGGCATTTCAGGAGGACAGAGGAAAAGAGTTACAACAGGTGAAAAAGCAAGAATATGAAATCTCAATTAGTAATCCTCATACCAATTTATTTATCTGCTGATGTGAGTAACTCATTTGGAATTTGTATTACCAATATATGAGAACAGGTGAGATGATTGTTGGACCAGCAAAAGCTTTGTTTATGGATGAGATATCAACTGGCCTCGATAGCTCGACGACTTACCAGATTGTGAACTCACTAAAGCAATCCATCCATATACTTGACGGCACAGCTGTCATTTCTCTACTTCAGCCAGCGCCCGAGACATTCGACCTCTTTGATGATATAATTCTTATATCAGATGGTCAAGTTGTGTATCACGGTCCCCGCGAGCATGTGCTAGAGTTCTTTGAGTCTCTAGGCTTTAAATGCCCAGAGAGAAAAGGTGTTGCTGATTTCTTACAAGAAGTAGGTTCTAAACAACAAATTTGCTTATGATATTTGCACTTTTTGATACAATTGATAAACTTTGGCATCTGACTTTGTAGGTAACATCTAAGAAAGATCAGCAACAATACTGGCAACGTCACAACGAACCTTACAGATTTGTGCCTGTAAGGGAATTTGCAGAAGCATTCCAATCCTTTCATGTTGGAGAGAAACTAACGAATGAGCTTTCTGTCCCATATGATAAGAGCAAGGAACACCCTGCAGCTCTTACAATTTCAAAATATGGTGTTAGCACCAAAGAACTTCTTAAAGCTTGTTTTTCAAGAGAATATTTGCTCATGAAAAGGAATTCATTTGTCTATGGTTTTAGAGGATTTCAGGTGAGTGAGAACTTACTCATTTCCTATATATGATTAATGGATTATTAATAACTTGTCCATTCTTACTATGTGCAGCTCATGGTGATGGCAACCATAACAATGACACTCTTTTTAAGGACTAATATGCATAGAGATAATATCTCCCCTGATGGAGGAATTTATATGGGCTCACTCTTCTTCTCAATTATCATGATAATGTTCAATGGTTTCTCTGAGCTTGCATTGACAATTTTGAAGCTCCCTGTCTTCTTCAAACAAAGAGATTATCTCTTTTATCCTGCATGGGCTTATGCAATTCCAACATGGATACTCAAGATTCCTATAACTGTTATGGAAGTTGGTGGCTGGGTATTTCTCTCCTATTATGTCATAGGATATGATCCTAATGTTGGAAGGTGAAGAAAAAAAAAATATTTCAGTAAAATTTGTTCCTATGACTAGTTTATTTATAGTTTCTTAGTAGCATTGTATCTTATTAATCTGACAAAAAACAAAAACCATTTTTCTTGTAGGTTATTTAAACAATTTTTTCTACTACTAGCTGTCAACCAAATGGCCTCAGCTTTATTTCGTTTCATTGCTGCACTGGGGAGAAACTTAATTGTTGCCAATGTTTTTGGATCATTTGCATTGTTGGTGATGATTATTTTGGGAGGATTCATTCTATCACATGGTACATTCTTGTGACTTTTGTCTTTAATTTATGAGATTTTCTTCTGTTTAGGGCTGCTATAATAGGTTGTATAAGTAATTTGTAGAAATATTACAGGAAAAATAGATTTTTTAACTATTATGTGTATCATACACTTTTATCATTGTGAAAAGGTGGGATAATTATTTTCCTACAGTTAGCATATTTAATTATAAAGCTTCTTCACATCACAAAAAACTTTGATAATGAATTAAATAATAGTCTAAAACTGTCTAAAAAATAAAGCTATAAAATAATTACCCCAACTAAATAAAGCTAGTTTCTCAATTTGATGTTACTCACTTACACAACATTTTTTCACTTGTTACAGATAATGTCAAGAAATGGTGGATATGGGGCTACTGGATCTCACCTCTTATGTATGCCCAGAATGCTATTTCAACAAACGAGTTCCTTGGCCACGCTTGGAGTCATGTAAGTAACATACGTACTAAAGCTAATCAAAATAAGGAAAAATAGAACATTATGCTTCTACTGCACATTAAACTTCAGTAACTATGTGCTTTGGGCATCGTATAATAGAGGGCAGGAAATGTTAAATCTTGGGAAGTTGTTTTAATCCCTAGGATCAAATTATGACTACAACAAATTTGTGCTTTAGCACTCTAACTTTCACGAAAATAAAAATATATAAATTAAGCATGATTCCAAAGAAATGCCCATTGTATGAACTAATGCATAAGAAGACAAACACACATATATCAGCATCAAGATTAGAATATGGCTAACCTCTTCTCCATAATTGGAATGTAGATTTTGCCGGAACAAAAAGAAAGCCTAGGGGTACAAGTATTGAAGTCACGTGGAGTCTTTACACAAGCAAAATGGTACTGGATTGGTATTGGTGCATTGCTTGGATACATGTTTGTATTCAATTTTCTTTTCACCGTTGCTCTTTCTTATCTCAAACGTGAGTATCTTCCCACAACTTATCAACATGGACACCTAATACACTCTTAAATCTAGCTGAAGATCATTTTCTCATGTTTGCAGCATTTGGAAAATCCCAGCCAAGCATATCTGAAGAAACACTGAAGGAGAAACAAGCAAATATTACTGGAGAAATGATTGAATCAATGGAAAATAAATCTGAAGGTCTTTCAATCTGACCATCATTTTATGATATTTATCTCTTCTTTCATCATTATTAATAATATATTTGGTACAGGAAGTGCAAACATTAGAGCAGGCAACAATGCAGTTGAATCTCAACAAAACAAGAAAGGAATGGTTCTTCCTTTTACTCCACTCAGCATGACATTTGACAATATAAGATACTCTGTGGACATGCCAGAGGTAATCTAATATGAAGATTAGTGTGGTATATATACTGATGCAAAGATTTCATGCTTTGTTTCCAAATATTGAGAAATTTGTGCTTGCAGGAAATGAAGGCCAAAGGGATTCAAGAAGACCGTTTGGAGCTATTAAAAGGTGTAAGTGGATCTTTCAGACCAGGTGTGCTCACAGCGCTGATGGGCGTTAGTGGGGCTGGTAAGACAACTTTGATGGATGTATTGGCCGGAAGAAAAACTGGAGGATATATAGAAGGAAGCATCATGATAAATGGTTATCCTAAGAAACAGGAAACCTTTGCTCGAGTTTCAGGATATTGTGAACAAAATGATATCCATTCCCCTTATGTGACAGTTTATGAGTCTTTGGTTTATTCAGCATGGCTTCGATTGCCTGCTGAGGTTGGTTCTGAAAAAGGAAAGGTTGGTGACGAAAAATACTCTGTATTCTTAAATTGCTTTTTATCCCAAGCTTTTACAAACTAACATATTAATCTTTTGACATTAGATGTTTATAGAAGAGATAATGGAGCTTGTGGAACTTACTCCATTGAGGGGAGCATTGGTGGGATTGCCAGGAGTAAATGGACTATCAACAGAGCAACGCAAGAGATTGACCATTGCAGTTGAGCTCGTTGCTAATCCAGCTATTATATTCATGGATGAGCCTACATCTGGACTTGATGCCAGAGCTGCTGCTATTGTCATGAGAACAGTAAGGAATACTGTAGACACTGGCAGAACTGTAGTGTGCACAATCCATCAACCTAGCATAGACATATTTGAAGCATTTGATGAGGTTAGATACCAATATTATTATGATTATAATTCTACTGTATAACATATTGTTGAATGAATAGGATTAACATGCCACTCATGGTGATTGCAGCTCTTCCTAATGAAACGTGGTGGAAAAGAGATCTATGTAGGACCATTGGGTCACCATTCTAGTCAACTGATTAGTTACTTTGAGGTAAGGCAATTAGAAGTTAATAATTCATCAATGGTTCTAAAACTATTAGCAAAGAGTAATATTGTGACTTCACTTTGCCAGGGAATTGAAGGAGTAAGCAAAATAAAGGATAGCTATAACCCAGCAACATGGATGTTAGAAGTGACAACAATAGCACAAGAGGAAATACTAGGGGTTGATTTCACTGATGTCTACAAGAATTCTGAATTGTTTCAGTGAGTAGCCTGCGTTCATTTTTTTCCAGCAACTAATTTTGTTTTCCTTGACAATATAACTAATACTAATCTCATTCTTCATTACAGGAGGAATAAGGCTTTGATCAAGGAGTTGAGCATACCTCCACCTGGTTCAAATGATCTTTTCTTCCCAACACAGTACTCGCAGACCTTCGTTTCTCAATGCATGGCTAGCCTTTGGAAACAGCATTTGTCATACTGGAGAAATCCACCATACACAGCAGTGCGGTTTTTCTTCACATTGATCATAGCCTTGATATTTGGAACAATTTTTTGGGATCTAGGTGGCAAAAAGTAAGTTAGCAAACCACTTATTAAATTTGCTTTTCTCTCCATCTTTTCAAATTCCAACTCTACATCTACTGCACTATACTAAGTGGTGGAATCACAAAACTCTTGTCCCTAGATTTGAGAAAGATCCTATGTATAATATGGATGTATGTCCATAAATTCGCTTGTAATTATATATATTATAGAAAGTTTAGTTGGCTTTTTAGCCCCCTCTAATTTAAAATCCTAATTCTAATACTGACTATGCTGATGAACGCCTCACACAGGAGCAAACAACAGGATTTGTTTAATGCAATGGGTTCAATGTATGCTTCTGTTTTGTTTCTTGGAATTTCGAATGCTTCTTCAGTTCAACCTGTGGTGTCTGTCGAGAGAACTGTCTTTTATAGGGAAAGAGCAGCAGGAATGTACTCAGCTTTGCCTTATGCATTTGGACAGGTAATGTCTCTTTCACTAGTTTCATGGCAGATTAATCTTGACACCAAAACTTTTTCTTTATCGTCTTACCAATGTTTTTTAATGGATTTGTAGGTTGGAATTGAAATCCCTTATGTCTTTATCCAAGCAATCATATATGGGATCATAGTTTATTCAATGATTGGGTTTGAATGGACAGCTGCCAAATTCTTTTGGTACTTGTTCTTCATGTTCTTCACATTCCTATACTTCACATACTATGGCATGATGGCCGTAGGCTTAACACCCAATTATAACATCGCTTCCATAGTATCTTCAGCATTTTATGGATTGTGGAACCTCTTCTCTGGCTTTATTATTCCACGACCAGTAAGTTCTAATTAAAAAAATGAAATGTTCTATTTAATTTAATGAAAACCGAAATTAAGAACTTTTTTTATTATTGCAGAGGATGCCTGTCTGGTGGAGATGGTATTCATGGGCATGTCCTGTTGCATGGACACTATATGGATTGGTAGCTTCACAATTTGGAGATTTACATGAGACATTTGAAAATAGTGATGTTGTCATCTCTCAATTTATAAGAAGCTACTTTGGATTCAAACATGATTTCTTGGGAGTGGTTGCTGTTGTAGTTGTTGGATTCGCAGCACTCTTTGCCTTCCTATTTGGGTTTGCCATTAAAGCATTGAACTTTCAAAGAAGATGAAGGATTTGATGAAGTAAATCAAGAAGTTCTACTAGTCATGATTGAAGCAAAATTTGTTTGTTATGTGTTCTGTGAGAAGAAAGGTCTTGTGACCTTGATGTATTTCTTCATTTCTTTATGATTTTAGGGAAATGCTAAGGCAAAGTTATTTTTATTTGTAATTATTTTTTGTAGATTATATGATTTTCAATTGTGTCTAAGATATGAAATTAAATTGTCATTAGAGTAATATAATTTTCTTTCACAAGTAAAAAAATTGTGTGTAACAAGCATTCATTTATGGTGGTCATTTCAAACAACATCTTAACAAGTAAAATTTTGAAAAACTTCACCTTTAATATATCTCCTGAATACTTTTATTCAAATATTTATGTCATGAAGGCCTTTGATAGTATTGATCAAACAATTTTGCTACAGGGGCTCCTGGATAAAGTTATTTCTTTGGCCATTTATGAATTGGAGTCAAAAGCTTCTAACCTCATCATTGGGAACTTATGTTGTTAATTCAAATCTTCTAAGGGCATGAGACAATGATGCCCTCCTTTTCTTGTAAGAATTTGAATGTAAAACTGAAGTGTTTCTTTGCATATTCCTAAACCCTGTTGTTTATTATTTCATTGTCACCCAAAAATACAGAACCCTTCAGCAAAGTCGACAGCAGGAAAATTTATTTAGGGTTTTCAAAATCATCATTCATTGTTAAAAATATAAAATCAAAATTATAAAATGTTTAATATGTTTTTCAAGTAAAACAAAATTATAAGAAAGTAAGTACAAGAAATTAAATGCATACAACACATACACAATTTTTATATGGTTTGGATTTCAACTTAACCTCATTGCCTGTCAAGCCCCCCACCTTCTATGATTTTACTATGTCGATCTTGCTATTGCAAATCTCCAAAAACATTTGGAACTAAAGAAATGTGTATGGAAGAATATAGATATGACTTTTGAGATAGCCGTTAAAGAAAAAAATATTTGAATTGTAGCTATTTGTTAATAGAAAAAGCTAGAGTCATAAATTCTAATGTGACTAACTTAAGATTCTCTAAGATAATAGATTTGTTCTTGAATGGCTTTTGAATATCATTGATTGTCTCCTAAATGTCTTGATCATATGATTATTTATTGATATTGCTTTTAGATATAAAATTCGGGCAACCACTTAATATTGAAATCAACTAGTGCAAAAAATTAGAACTTCCAAACATATGTTTTTTATTGTTAAAAAAAAGTTCATGCACATCGGGAGCTCATAAGATCAACATAAGATCCCACGATGTTTCCCCTTTTTAGTTTTCCACATAAAAAAATACCATGTCTTTTTTGAGATGCTCTCAACTTATCCATGTATGTGTGGATTTTAGTTCAATATTAAAATGATAAGATTTTCCTCAACCACCATAAATATTTTAGCATTTAATCATACAATATAAATTATTTTGAAGTTGACTTGATATTTCAAAATAAGGAATAACTTAATGTTGGGGATGATGAGTAAACACCACAATGACGAAACAAGCAAGAAAGTAAAAGCAACAGAAAGTAAAGAACAACAGGATTTAACGTGAAAAAACTTAAAGTAGGGGAAAAAGCTACGGGAGCTACCACCACACCAAGAATCTACTATAAAAATTGAGAGAAATAAGTGCAAATCTCTCTTCTCTCTTACTCGCTCTTTACTTCTCTTCTCAAATGCTTCGTTCTCAATGTTTTCACACCCTCAAAATACAAGAGAAAGTCAAGTAAATAACTCCAAGGGATGCAACCTTTCAGAAAAATGAGAAAAAAAAAACCATCCACTCCATCTCGCAGCGCTGCGACGCTAGTTTGAAGCGTTGGGGCGCTTGAACCTCTCTGTCTTGATCTACTTCAGTGCCATATCTATACCACTGAAGTGCTCTGCTCTCTATCGTTAAGCGCTAAGGAGCTTGAAAATATAGCACCAGTGCGCTTGGGTATGCATCTCCCCTCGCACTCCCTAGCGAGCATGAGAAACTTGAAGTCCGAGGCAATAAAACAACATAATTTGATTCCACACATAACAATCTTCCACTTGGAAACTGACTTCAATCAATTCTTCTCCCGATCAGCACCATCAATCATAGCACCTATAGTGTGGCTCACCCTTGCTATCATCCTCCATAAAGACCAAACTGAAGCTATTATCAACCATCACCATTTTCGTCAGTATGTCTACAGGAGTCTCGATCACATGTATCTTTTCTAAAAATAACTGGCCATCTTCTAGAAGAGACCTGACGAAATGATACCGAAGCTAGATGTACTTCTTCCTAGCATGGAATGCAACATTCTTGGCTACATGTATATCACTATGCAGCTTTCCATTCCTTTTCTCTTTGCCAAGTTCTGTTAAGAAACTTTGCAATCAAATCATCTCCTTGCTAGCCTCAGTGATAGTAATATACTCAACTTCTGTGGTTGAGAGTGCAACAATCTTCTATAACCTGAAAACCCAACTAACGACAATCTTTCCCAAAGTGAAGATATAACATATTGTGCTTCTCCTACCATCAAGATCTCTAACAAGAACAAGATCTATATAACCCTGTAAATCAATCGCCGCACCACCAAAGCAAAAAAACTTTGTTAGCTAATCCTCTCAAGTACCTGATAATCCACTTAACTGCCTCCCAATGAAGTTTGTTTGTGTTGCTCATAAATATGCTGACTACTCTCACTGTATATGCTATATCAAAGCTTGTGTAGATCATAGCATACATCAAACTTCTAACTGTTGAAGCATATGGAGTATTTTTTAATATGTTATTCATTTGCTTCAGTTGTAGGTGATTAATCTTTAGAAAATTGAAAGTGCCTACCCAAGGGAGTGCAAACTGCCTTTGCCTTACTCATGTTGAATCTCTGAAGCACCTTTTAACATACTTTGCCTGAGAAAACTTTAGTATGCATGCACTTCTATCTTTATTTATTCATATATAAAAAATTTTCTTTGTTGTAATTAGATCTTTCATTTCAAACTCATTTGATAACTGCTACTTTAGATATCTTATTTTCTCTGTATCTGAACCTGAAATCAGCATGTCATCTAGATACAAAAGCAGATTAATATAATAGTTATCAAAATATTTTAAAAAATAATAGTGATAAGCCTGACACTTTGTGTTCCCATTATCTGACATAAACTTATTAAATCTCCTGCACCACTGTATTGGTGCCAACTCAGTATGTGTAAGCTCCTCCTTAGCCTACACACCAGATCTTCATTGCATGTGACTACATATCCTTGAAATTACACCACGTATAACTTTTTATCAAGGTCGTTATAAAGAAATGTTGTCTTTACAACTTCTTAATCATTATCATATTCAATTTTAATATATTTGGAAGAATCTTCAAGAGTTTCATTTCTATCATTATACATTTTATTTTCATTGAATTTAACATTCCTGCTCCTGATTATTTTTTTATTATAATAATCTTAGAATTTGTAGACAAATTCATTTGAACCATATCTAATAAATGTATATATAATAGATTTTGGATCAACTTTACTTTTAGATCCTCCATTAACATGAATGGATGAACAATCAAAAACTTCAAGGCGGGATATACTAACTCCTTTCCTCAAAGGAACTAATGGACCATGGTTTATTAAATAACTATAGTATTAACTGCCTTTGTCCAGAACTGTTTGAGTTGACCAGCATGTAAACTCATGCTCCTCGTACACTTAGTGATCGTTTTATTCATGTTCTCTTTAACACCATTTTGCTACAGTGTCCTTGGAAAAATGAACTCATATATAATCTCATTCAAAGCACAATACTCCTTGAATTTTTTATCACGATACTCAACACCGTTATCTGATTTGATAAACTTGTGTCTCAAGCTCAACCATGACCTTCCATTTTTTAAAAGCATCAAACACATCTGACTTATATTTTAAGAAGTATATCCATACCTTCATACAGCGATCATCAATAAATATACCAAAATACAAAGATCCTTATATAGAAGTAACTGGAGCAATATTTCATACATTAGTATGCACTAACTCCAACTTATTTGACTCAATCTTTGAACCAGTATTTGAAAAACTCACCCTATGTTACTTGTCATATATATAGTCTTCACAAAAATCTAAATATATAGATTTTAAGCTATGAAGCTTTCCTTTAATAAGAAGTGAATGCATACCTTTCTTACTCATATGACCAAGTCTTTGATATTAAAGACCTCCATCAATAATGAATCTCATACTCTAATAGAATTTGTTTTTCTATTAATAACATGCAGGGTGCCTTCAATACTGTCACGAGCTATAACCATAGCCCCCTTTGTCACTTTCCATGCATCTTCTGTGAATGATATCACATAGTCTGAGTTTGCAAGCTAACTCACAGAAACTAAACTCCTCTTCAAACAAGGAACATGCCTAACATTCTTGAGTCTCCAAATTAACCCATACGACATTCTGATATCAACATCTTCATGTCCAATAATATTGCAGGGCTTGTTATCCCCAAGATACACTTTACCCAAATTACATTTAGTATAGTTATTTAATGCCTTGTTATTATGACTTGCATGAAAAAAAGAACAATAATTTATCACCCAAGATTTAGAATTGTCCAGAGATAAAATCAGAGAATTTGATCGAAACTATATGTAAATACATTTGTAGAGTGAATTTTGTCTTGACCTCCACCACTACCCTTCTTTGAAACTGTATAATCCTCCTACAAGTGATATTTCTTTCCACGGATCCAACATATAACTTTTCCTCTACATGAAGTAGACTTTCCTCTCTTAGATTTAGATCTCCCTCTATTTGAATTTCTCTCTAAGCCCCTTCCACTTGCTTCAACATTTAGAGCAGAATTTGAAGATTAATCATTCGCCCTCTAGTGAACCTCTTTATTAAGCACTAACCCCATAATATCATCAAAGTTAGACTTTGAACTTCCGAAAGAGTTACAGAAGTAACAAGCCCTTCATAGCTTTCTAGCAATACATATAACATCAATAAAGCCCTCACTCATCATCAAAATTGATGCCAATTGAACACAATTAACTCATCATAGTGATCAAGTTATTTAGGTATTCCTCTATTAGAGTGTTGTCCAACATCTTCATATTGAATAACTTTTTCATCATGAACACTTTATTTAAGGCCGATGACTTCTCATACATCTTAGTCAGTGCTGCCATGAGATCGAACGTAGTCTTCTCATTTATAATGTTGAATGCAGTCGATGGAGAAAATGAAAGTTATATGAAACCTAGCGTAGTCTGATAAAAAACCTCCCATTCTTCTATAGTCATATAATCCAGCTTTTTTGTGATTTCTTCCAATGACAAATACAACTTTTATATAATAAATTGTTAATTTGCATCCTCTAGAATGTGAAATTCGTAACTGTTGAACTTCTCAATCTAGTACATTGCTTCGTTCGCCATTAGTCCCACTCGATCTACATAACCTCACTCTAGTACCCGTTATTAGGGATGATGAGTAAACACCACAGGGATGAAATAAGCATGCAAGTAAAAATAGCGAAAAGTAGAGGATACCAAGATTTAGCGTGAAACAAAATCAATATAGGGAAAAAACCACGGAGCCACACCACACCAAGATATCCGTTAAAAAATGGGAGACATAAGTACATTTATCTCTTATCTCTTGCTCTATTCCTACTTCTCTTCTCACATGCACCATTCTCAATATTTTCATACCCTCAAAATACAAGAGAAAGTCAAGGGTTGCAAACCTTTAGAAATCAAGAAAGAAAATCGTCTAGTCCATCTCGTGGCGCTAGTATGGAGCTCTGCGATGCTTTAACCTCTATCTTGATCCACTACAGCGCCGTATCTATATCGCCGCAACCCTCTACTCTCTATTGTTCAGTGTTAAGGCACATTGGGAACACAATGTTAGGGTGCTCGGGTACGTAGTATTGGGGTGCTTGGGTACATACCGCCTGATATTGTACGAAAATAAATTCGAGTGCAAAGTACCCGAACTCAAGCAGGGGGTAAACCCCACACACCTCCCAACGAGCACGAGAAATTTATGGCCCGAGGCAACAAAATTGCCTGATTGATCAACAAAATTAGATCCCACATATAACACCTAAAAAGAGAATGATTAGGGGAAAAAATGGCAACCTTAATGTTTAACAATAAAGAGTAAATGATTTAGAAGAATGATGAAAGTTTAAAGCAAATTCATTTTTTATCATGCTTCAATGACCTTTATAAGTTTGAAGAAATTTTAATTACTCCACAAATATTTGGATTATGATAAATGTATATTTTCATTATGGTGGTACCAAAGCTTAATGATATTGAAGAAGGATTCTATGTATGGCCAACCTCACAAAAAATGTCCCCTCTTAAATTCTAGTAAAGATTCCCTTTCTGTAGAGTGCAGTGTTGTATTTATAGATATTTTTAAGTGACATACGACATCTCGTATCAATTCCCTTAATTATTGAGCGTTCATTCAACATGTAAGTGCCCTAGTGTTGTTGGGATTAAAGAATATAGGAATCGTTAGATTTGTCTTGTCGAGACGCTCGATTTGATTGAGTATGCCAAATTTCTATATCATTTGGTCATTTAAGTAACATTTAAAAAATCATAACTATGTTTCAAGTTCTTGATTTGAGCTAATTTGGACTCAGATTATATCATTTTTTGTGTATTTGTGATCGTCTCGTCAATCTTATCTATTTGATTATAAGTTTATTATAATTAGAATTTGAATGATCTTAAATATATCTTTTTAACGACTTCTAATTCAAATATGTATCAAAATTCATGTCAGATCTAACTATTTTTCGATGAAATATCAAATTTATTTTAAAAATGTTATCTTATAGTGTTTATGATATATACTTCATTTGGGATATTTTTTGACCAATATATTTTTATTACTTTCAATAAAATTTTATATTAAAAAATATTTTAAAAAATAATAAGGAAAACGTCTCAAAAAAATCATAAAGATACTATATAAGCAAAATGCTATGATATGTTGATAACTTATTTTTTTAAGGTGGAAAATAAATATATGATCGAACTCCCATAATTGTGAACATTTTAATCTTTGAGCTTCGGATTCCACCTGAAATCTTATTTCTTTGGCGCAGGCCGATAGCGACCGACCGTATGAAATGTATATAAAGCTGATGCCATCTGAATACGAAAGGCTAAATTACTCAATCGTCCTTCTGACGTGCTACGAACTAGTGACATGGAGACGGTGGCGATTTCGTTAATTATTGAAAACATATGTCTCAAGTTGTTGCAAACACCCCACTCACCTGATCGAAACGGACGGCGGATGATGCATTGCCACTTTCTTTCGGCCTATGTTTACGTGGCGCTATCTTTGCCGTTCATCGGATGACCAAATTATTGTACAGGAATCCCAGGCCATTTCCGAGGAGAGAGAAATCATTCAAAATGAGAAAAGCCATTGCCAGGGCTTATTCGGTTATCCCGCCAAATTCGACCGCGAAACTGACCGCTGACGCGGCCAATTATTTAGCCACAAACCCTTTGGTCAAATGAAAAGGTGCGAAATCTGGGTTGGACGCTAAAAGAATTTATGTTCCTCTGGAAGTTTTATTCATCGCAGCACGGTCAGGTCGTCCTGTCGCACAGGCCGAATAGATTTTTCCTTTTCTATTTCTTTTTCGTCTTCTCTCGCTCTCTCTACCCTATGTTGGTAATCGCGGGGTTTATGTTGAGCTTTTTAGCACATGAACGGACATCTCTTGGAGAAATTTGTGAAGCTGAGAATAGAACGAAGAATGGCGCCGACCTTCGCTATTAGGTGAAAGATTTGTGGGCGCCGGCGAGGCGAAGGAGGAAGAAGAGGAAGGAGAAAGACTCGGGCTTGCTTGTTTTTGGTGGGAATCATGTCTCAGACAAACTGGGAAGCGGATAAAATGTGAGTTCTTGTTGTTTATTTGCTTTTCAAAATGGTATTTTTTTATATTATGGGATGGTATTTATTGTTTTTTCTGTGGAGAAATAGTTGAGTTTCCATATTTGATCAAGGCTTTATCTGTTTTTGGTTCTTTTTTGCAGATTTCTATTCCTGTGCTGAGATTAATGATTTCATCGTTTGCTGTTTTAGGTTTTTTGGGGGATTTCAGCAACATAGAGGATTCGAGGGTTTTCAGTTTCTGGGGATTCTAGGATGTTTATTGTTCCTGGGTTCTTGATCTTATTAAGTGGCAAAAACCTTTTTTTTTTCCCTGGTTGGGTCTAACGAGCTTTCGTATTGCTAAGACATTGCATTCTGGAGCGCACCTAGTTTTTTATTTTGATTTTGTTCTTTTAGCTGTTTTTATGTGATTTTTGTTTACTTTTGGACCCTTGCCATTGATAGCGTATACTATTTGAAGCTTGTCCCGTCCATAAAACGCACTAAACTTTTTTTTTTGCCTTGATTTATTTCTTCAATTTTCAAATATTTATAATTATCTTGATTTAAATTAAGTTAATTTTTACTTCCAACATTTGGAGCAGGTTGGATGTCTATATCTATGATTATTTAGTAAAGAGGAATTTGCAGGCCACTGCAAAGGCTTTTCAAGCTGAAGGGAAGGTATCTTCGGATCCTGTTGGTGAGTATGATAGAGAGTTATGGTTTATTTTCTTACATTTATATGTTTGAAATAATTCTTATCTCTGGAATGGGATGGGTTCAGCTATCGATGCTCCAGGTGGCTTTCTATTTGAATGGTGGTCAGTTTTTTGGGATATTTTTATTGCAAGAACGAATGAGAAGCATTCTGATGTTGCCGCATCATATATTGAGGCATGTGGTTTCCCTAATTTTTTTTTTCTCCAAGATTTCCATTACTATTAGAAATTCTGGTTGATAGAATGAATTTCTACCTTTTTTTGAATTATTAATATTTTTTAACAACTGATTCAATGTTTGTCTGTGAAAAGCCACGTGGTCTCTCTATAGTAGGCTCCCTTTACAGTTATTAGTAAACTTGCTGAAGTTTGTTGTACAAATTTAGCCAACATTGATTATGATTTTGGACAAGTTTCAAATGGATTTTATGAGTTACATGTCATTTTACTGTGTTTTCCTTTGTGAATTCAGAGGTTTTCATGGCAATTTTTTTTCTATGTTGTAGATCCAAGTCTTGGATGAGAAATGTGGAGTGTTGCGTTAGGTAGTCGTCAGCTAGCGTAAAACTTGTCGAATAATCATGACATGAATCCTTTAATACATTGTGTTAATGCTAGGGCGTTTTTTGGAAGCGACGCGCTGTATGGTCTGAATAAAGTAACAAGTGTGCAATGGCCGTTGCACTGTCGTCTAGGTGTAGTGTTAAATAGACAAGGGTTCCCACATCATGGACGGATGTGGGCAAAGAAGTTAGTCTATAAAACTAAAATTAGGATAAAAATCATGCAACTTAATGTAATTGATATATATTATGATTCCTAGAAAAATAAATATTCTATGCATTTTGGAAATTAAATGGGTTGGAGAGGTGTTATACTTCTCTCCAGGATGACAGTGAGGCTTCTAAATAGGAAACAATTGAAACTAATATGGGAAAGGCTTCTAAAATTGAAAATATTGGTAACAACTTTTCAGGAGAAATGAAGATTGATGGTGAATCTGAAAAAGAGATTGAAAATGCATCCTCCAATGTAGAAGTACAAAACTCCAAGGATGCTTCAGTAATGTTTTTGTTGAAGCCCAATCAGATAAAACTTTTGATATTGAGGGAACCATAAATGTAGATAATGGACAAGAAACTTCATTAGAAACTAATACTAAAGAGGTTGTGGTGATGTGAAACATAAAGCAGTTGCAGGAATTGCATGGACATTATAAAAAAATATTAAACTTACTAATTAAAATTTAATGTTTCACAAGATTAGATTTTAGGATTTCTCAGTTAAAAATCTTATAATAGCATACTGTTACAATATAGAGTAGGGAGAAATTAGAATAAGAATGAAAAATATTAAATTCTTAATTTCCCTATCACAAAAATCCACTGGTTAACAAAAAGAATGGTCGCCTTGAGTTTCCCTCACTCATACTCTTGAGTATTTTTAGCGGAAGAATAATTTATACAATATTAATGATGCCACCACAAGATAGTAGGCACTTACAATATTTCTCAATGAAGAGTTATCCGGAGAGGAGGTAGCTGATGGATGATGGAGAATTTGCTATTGAACTGGAAGTTGATGCTCGTCGATGATGATTGTCAAGGAAAAGAAGATCCGATCGATATTGTCTTCAATAGAGTGGTCGATCTCAAAATCGAAGTCGAAGAAGGGAGACCAATGAACATCCACTCATCCTTGAGGGTCGGATACGAATTCATGATCATGCTCGGGGTCGACCATCTATGGAGAGTGAAAGTTCCTCCAATTTTGGGAGGGGCCTAGGGTGGCTGGCGGCTTGTATAGAGAAAGAGGAGAAGAGGGGTTCAAGAGAGGTTATGAGAATTAAATCCAATAATTATTCCAGAGTTGGGTAATTAATTAGTGGAGTTAATGAGAGGAGTGAGAGAAGGGAATTCAAATTTTGAATTCCCCAGAAGAGAGGGAGGGATGGGCGGCCGGTTCTTAGAAGGGGGAGTTTGATCGGGGTTCAATTAGGAAGGGGCAGTATTAAGGGTGTGAGAGAGACAGAGTTGAGATGATGGAGAGAGAGAGATGGAGAGAGAGGAGAGAGAGAGAGGATGATTGGAGATGAATGAGAGAGAATGAGAGGGGGGGGGGGGAGAGGGGCGGCCAATGATGGGGCTTGATTTGGTGAATTGATGACTTTTTATAATTGAAACTTTAATTAGGAAAGTTAAAGGGCCTTTCAAAATTTAAAATTCAAATTAAATTAATGGAGGGAGCTTTCTTAATTAATTCCAAAATATGGGACAATTTTGAATTTCAAATTAATTTGTAAATTTGAACTTAAATTTTAGGTTTCCCAAAATACCTTGAATTAAATTAGGAAAGTAATAATGGTGCAATTTGAAATTGGAGCCAAGGGGATTGGGTGGGTTTGGCTGCGGCAAGGAGGAGGGGAATTGGCAGCGGCAGGGGGGATAGGGAATCAACCAGCGTGTGGGTGTTTGGCTTGTGGTATAGTCCGAAGTTTGGAGAGGCGGACACTTTCTGTGTGGTGACAGGAATTTCTTTTGCGCTCATCCTAGGGAGTCTTCTTCTTCTTTAGAGCTTCTTTATATCACTCTGAGAACAAGAATACATAATTTTTTTATTAATTATCGTCCATGCTTCTATAATAGCGAAGGCCTCCATATATAGGCCTAAAAAATAAAAGAGACTTAAAGACTAAAATGCCCTTTGGGCTACAACACTAACTAATCATGCATAGGGGAAAGGGAAATCGAGAGCTCGGACACTTTCTGTGGCTAACAGGAATTGCTTTTGCCCTCACCTAGGGACTTCTCTTCTCTTTAGAGCTTTCAACACTCATGAGAACAAGAATACATAAATTTTTTATTAATTATCGTTCATGCTTCTATAATAGCGAAGACCTCCATATATAGGCCTCAAAAATAAAAGAGACTCAAAGACTAAAATGCCCTTTGGGCTACAACACTAACTAATCATGCATAGGGGTACAATGGTAAAGACTAAAACATAAGCACAAGAAATACATAAAATCCATCATAAATAAAGACTCATAATCGTAGCCATCAATCTTTGATTCCTCCTGTGATAGATACATCAGAATCTCCTGTTGATGTCCTCATCATGTGGACTACAAAGTACAAGCAAGCAATGAGGATGCTTAGGTGGAATTGATTTTGAAAGAAAGGATGCTGGTGGGGCTAGGAATTTAGAAAAAAAAAATCGTTGTATCTATTGAAGAAATTGAGAAATCATCTAAGGGCACTGGGCAAAGCGGTTCAAATAATGGAGAATAAAGCAGGAGACGCTGGTAATGAAATATTAGGAATTGTTGATGATGATTATACAACTCATAAAGAAGGAAAAGGGAAGAATGAGGTTGCATCAAGTGACGAAGCCATGAAATCATCTAATGTAAGTGAGAATATACATTAAGTTGATTCAACTAACGAAATTTTAGCTAGGGAGGCTGTTCAAATTGAAGTAGACAATAACTCTGAGGCTGTGAGCATCAATCATAGAAACACTAAAGAAGAGAATGCCTTTTATCCTTCCATCCATGTTTAAAAGATCAAATCTAAATTGCTAAATTTGATAACAACAAAGGATGCCTAATCATGCTTGAATTATATACCAAATGTGCTCCGATTGTCATATCTGATTCCTAAATCCAACGGTCCGTGAATGTTCCGTGTCATTAAGATTCATTCTCAAATAGTCTCTTGCCAACATGATGTGACACTTGCCCTTTGATTGTGTGATTTTGCCGTAAAAGGACACAACTATATTATATTATTATAATCATTGCCAAAGCTCGTATGCTACCTAATATTTTCAAACATTTGAGTAATAAATCATATGATATACTCGATAGGTACAAAGCCCTTTTTTGTCAGTTAAGGTTGATTCGAATGTATCCCCTTAGAAAAATACCACCCCAAATCTACGAGGCATTCTTAGACGAAGCAACCATGACTGTCGACAAGGTTCCTTCTGTAAGGTTGGGTCAACTATCACCTATGACTAAGTAGACCAGGGACCATGACAGCCCAGAACGATGTAACAATGAGATCTTTATCGGGATCATCTTCATTCCCCTCATCACCCATTTTAAGTATTTGATGCTAAATTTCAAATCATTAACTCTAAAATTTAAACCCTAAAATTGTTACTATTATACGCTAGGTAATTATTGCGACCTACTTAACGACTAGCCTTAATCAAAAGTTCTCTCTCATTATTGAGATGAGTAATTAAATATAGGGGCTTGCACTTATAAGAAACAAGAACTCATTTCATAAAGTCGTCGCAAAAGGAGGGCAAAATCTCTAGATAATGTCTTATCTAAAACCCACTTTGCCTTCTGAAAATTTACCCGTAACTTAATTCTGTTAAAACTCTCCCCTCCAACAAAAAGAGTTGTGTGGAGAAGTCGTGTCACAAATTTTCGAAAACACAATAATAGCCCTCTTACCTTTTTTTAGATGGATAAAATTTAGTCCCATTGATTAGGTGAAGAAGTCGAGCACCCACGTTTGACCTTATTGACTCTCGGTTGCTTTCAAGGTCATGACATATCATCTCAATACACGTGTTAAAATATATAAATTAATTGTGCCATTTGGGTCTCCTTGCCTATTTGGTGAGGTTGTATGACCATATAATTAGGTTGATTCTAATATTTGGATTGTAAGGCCCAAGGTTTAAAATTGCGTAAATAAGCCTCGAGGCATTTTTCATCCATGAGGCAAGGCGTAAGCCTCGAGGCGGTGTGAGGCGTAAGCCTCACGGACGCAGAATTGCGTAAATGAAAATTTAAGGGTTTTAGCAGGTAAATAATAACAAGTTTCTATCATACAATAAAAACATCTAAATGACATGTTAAATTAGTGGAAAATAAGAAAATAGATGCAATAAAATCATATCCCAAAGTACAAAATCACAAAATATTAGTCTATCAAAACTCCCAAAGTACAATTAAGAAAGAACATAAAATTCAATCATATCCCATCACTCAATGGGTTTTCAAGGGATTCTTCTTCACTAATTGTATTTATGAATGTCATATTTTCATCATCTTCAATGTGACTCACTTTTCTCTTTCCTGTTCAATAAGAATGATCATTATCATGTTAATTGCTCACTTGATATAAATATAATGCAATAGTATATAAGAAGTTG